CCGAGGTGTCCTGGACGGGGTTGGGCGCGCTCGCTCGGGAGTCCGCTTGTGTCCCAAGGGGCCTCCTCCCTTAAGTAGCAGTTCTGGGGGGCTGTCAAAGGAGGGGGGCTTCTCCCCTTCCCCTCCCCTGCCCATGAGCCTGCTCTGTGACGGGTCCCCAGGAGGGGGTCCCCAGCTTGCTGCCAGCCCTGAAGGATTTGGGTGCCTGGAGGGAAAAGCTGGTTAGCCCAGGAAAGAGGCTTTATTCCCCCCCCTCAACAGACGCTCTGACCCTAGCGTCCTGTGTCACTGTAGACTCTCCACCTGCAGGGCCTGAGATGGGAAAGGAGCAGTTTCTGGGGTTCTCCTGCTCACACCCGCTGAAAGGGTTCTGGGTGGCTTTTCCGGGCCCTGGCGGGTCTGATCCGGTTGCCCAGAGTGGCTGGAGCTGGGTGGGGGCTGCAGGAGTCCTCCTGGCCTCGCTCCAAATGGCCCCAAGGCTCTCCCGTTTGAGCCGAGAGAGGCACCGCTTTATGACCTCAAGCCCAGGAGGGGTTGGAACCAGCAGCCTGAACTACGGCGGTGGGGCCCGTGGACCGATAGCTGGGCACCTTCTCGTCCCCTTTGGTCTTTCCCAGGTCTTTCATACATAAACAGTTTTACTTCCTCCTTTAGCTTCAAGGCTGGTTAGCTGCTTTTCCCTTCCTTAGAGGAAGGCAGCCACACATGGGATCTCCTTCATACTGACTACCCGCATGACATCCATGCATAGAAGCCAGTGATAAGGATATCTGTAGGGTTTAGGGTTTTATTCCTCCAGCACTCCACATGACATCCATGCCATACCAGCCAGTGATAAGGATATCTGTTCCCATAGGGTTTAGGGTTTTATTCCTCCAGCACTATCACTGAATAGATTCCGTGATACAAAAAAAAAGTGTCAGTTTTCACTGAAATACAACTTTAAAAGTAGTTACTGTACTTCTATTCTCCCTAGAAGCAAAAAATAACTAAACTGAGGCTGTTGTACTTTTCCTGATACAAAAAATGTGTCAGTTTTCACTGAAACACAACTTTCAAAGTAGTTATTTCTATTCTCCATAGAAGCAAAAAATGACTAAACTGAGGCTGTTGTACTTTAGACACGTCCTAAGAAAACAAGACTCCCTAGGGACAGTCGAAAGCAACAGGGAAAGAGGAAGACCGAATGCAGGATGGATTGACTCAATCCAGGAAGCCACCACCCTGAGTTTGCAAGAATGGAGCAGGGCTGAGGAGGCCCGGGCCTTTTGGAGGCCCTCCATTCATAGGATCACCCCATATCAGAAGCAAATGGGTGGCACAGAACAAGAGCAGCAGCAGCAGCAAGAGCCACACCAGCTGAGCGGCACACAACTAGCCCATGGGTGCTGAATCTGATTTCTGAAAGGTGGGGCCTTTCTCGTGGCCACCCAGGCTTTTGGGAGGATCTCTCCCCCTTCCTCGTCTCCCCTCCCTTCTGGGCCAAATGCCCAGGGACATCCTCAGGCTTCCTTTTGAGGGGCAGACGGGACTTGGCGCTGACAACAGTGACTTACTCAGGAGCAAAGCAGGTGTTTGCAGCCAGCCCAGAAAAAGATGCGAGAAGAGGCCGCCAGCGATCCTCGGTGGGCGGAAAGGGTTTGGCTGTTCTTGGCTCCGCTGGATGATGATGATGATGATGTCTTGGCCTTCTCGGCTCCTCCTCTAGAAGCCGACAACAACCCATCTTAGGGGTCTTGTGTCCAGTTCCTAATGGGTTACAGAAATATCCCCTGACTCTCAAAACCAGCATGAATGTTTTACACGTGAAGCCTTTATTTTACTGTGTTTCACTCAATATGTCTGAAGAAGGGGACTTGTCCACAAAAGCTCACATTAAAACATAAGGTACCAAAGGCTTTTGTCATATATATATAAAATTTTCCCCCTTTGGGTTTTGCCTGGAAAGCCTGCACAGACTAACATGGCTCCGTCTTCTAAATCGACACATTGGCTGGACTCCTGTCGGTACAATCTCCCAGCTTCCCAAATAAACAAACGGGAGTGGGTGGGTTGTATGGGGGGGAGAGAACGAGAGTTAAGAGGGTTCCAGAGAGGCTTTTGTCATATATATATAAAATTTTCCCCCTTTGGGTTTTGCCTGGAAAGCCTGCACAGACTAACATGGCTCCGTCTTCTAAATCGACACATTGGCTGGACTCCTGTCGGTACAATCTCCCAGCTTCCCAAATAAACAAACGGGAGTGGGTGGGTTGTATGGGGGGGAGAGAACGAGAGTTAAGAGGGTTCCAGAGGCAAGTCTGAGTGGGTTGGGGGGGAAGAGAACGAGAGTTAAGAGGGTTCCAGAGGCAAGTCTGAGACTTGGGAGGCTTTAAGCAGGCAAAGCCAAGCACTTTCCCTAGTAAATACTTCAAGTGTTGCATCGTTTGCAAACATTTTGGTTTTGCAATTAACAATTCCCAGCCTGAAGTGGGAAGCAAAACCTGACCCATTTCTGCAAAAGTCAAAGAGTCTGCGGCTGAAGACTTCGGAGGACTTACTCCACCGAAGGGGGTGGGCCAGGATGGGGAACGTGCCTTGTTTTAAAACAACACCAGGCATCAGCCCTCCCGCACCAGGGCTGGGATATTCATTACCCAGAGGTCTTCCAGGCCCATAAACCTTTGCTGCACTTTGATAACACACAGGAGGCTTGGGACTGACCCCCGGGGTCCTTTTCCCAGAGAAGCCAGGAGGTTAAACGAGGGCAGCCCAGCGGGCAGGCAAGAGGCTGAACAGGCTTCAAGGACAGGAAAGCGTGTCGTATGTAGATTCCCCTTTTCACTTTCTCACTTAAGCAGCCCAGGAAACGTACAGAGCATGCGTGACAGCCAAAATCAGCACCCTTTTTTGGCACATCACCCAAAGCTATCCTGGATTTTTAAAGCTACCTGTGGCACCTGGTTTATCGTGGCTTAAGATAAGCATCACTAGTCAGAGGAAGGCAACACACAGACAGGTTTTAAAACACACACACACACACACAATACTACCATTTTAAAAGCATGTGTATTGATACAGGCTCATTGTTTAAAACAAAATGGAGGTTTTGCAAAATTGTCTTCCACTTGTGAGACTAAAAGTCATACATTGAGTCACAGAGGCCGAGTGACTCCCAACGGCTATTAGTATTTTAACCTTGTGATTTTGTTCAACCGTGTATAAATGGGAAAAAGTGAATTAGGTATTCCAGAACAGAAATATATTTAGAAACATTTTTAGAAACACGTGGAGGCATACACTAATCAAGAGTCACATTCTTAAAATGTATTTCCATTACTCTGTGTATACATTTTAACTGTAGTGCTCCAATGTGTAAGAATAATAGGAGCCTTTAATGCACAAAAAGTTCCCGGGGTGGGGTGGGGGGAACCTACTGGGACAGATCTTTCTCTTACTTGCTGGACTTCTGTAACTGTACATTTTGCATTAATGCCCCAATCATGAAATATATTTTATTTGAAGCAAGTCCAATTCATTTTCATGGAGTAAGATTTGAAGACAGCATGTTTATGATTGTGGCTTTATCTTAATATTTGCTTTTACCTTTTAAACTTGTCCTGGAAATCTTAGTTTGGACCTGTTTGGGAATTCTCAAAGAAAGCATCTTTACCAGATGCCGATCAGAAATGTTTAAAAAACCTGGAACAGCAAATTAACTTGCAGTGCCATGCCACAAATTTGTTACTTTAAAAAAACTTGCAAAACTTTTTTTTTGGGGGGGGACATCCCTTCATCACATGGGATTCCAGGAAAAAAAGTCTGCAATGGGATGAACACGCCATCCTGTGCGCACGGAGAAGGGTCGAGGGAAAACCTGAGCAGTTCTGCGGTTTTATCAGCCCTAAGGAGGGCGGCTATTAATGGGTGTTGTTTCTTTCTTGCTGGAGGAACAAGAAAGATCCAAGAGGCTGCTTATGACATATACATTTTACATTTTAAGCGCTCAACGGTTAATAAATCAGCAAAATTACCTGCAAAAAATAATCGGATGAGCGGAAACCTGTGAGACGCCATTGGAAGATTCCTTCTGACAGCGGAAACTTTTGCTGCGTTTCTAAAATTCACCTTCAAGAATGAACTGTTTTGCAACTCGCCTCTCCCTTTGTCATTAACGCTACCTTTCTGCCAATAGAAAAAACAAACAAACCAGGCGTCCGTAACATTTCTAAACCATTTCAAGTGTGGGCAAGGCTCTCTTTTGTAAGGACCACAGAACTCTAGAGACACACGTTCAGGGGGAAGCCTACCTGTTCAGCTCAATAATTTTCTTTTTAAAAGAAAAACCATGAGAAAGTATTGTTTTGCTTTGTTTTTTGTTTTTTTTAAACAAAAGGGTTTTGGGGGATTCCATACCTGTTTATTGCTGGCTAAATGGTACAAGGTCTTCTTGCTGACCCTAAATCCTCCACGTGGGTTCTAAATCATTTTGCTCTTCTTTCAAAGGGGTCTGCCTGCCTGTCTGCCTGTTTCACAGAAGCCACTGCTGCCAGTTTTTTTAAACAAAAGGGTTTTGGGGGACTCCATACCTGTTTATTGCTGGCTTCTTGCTGACCCTAAATCCTCCATGTGGGTTCTAAATTGTTCTGCTCTTCTTTCAGAGGGGTCTGCCTGCCTGCCTGCCTGCCTGCCTGCCTGTTTCACAGAAGCCACTGCTGCCAACTCACGGAGCAGAAACTGCAGAAGGCGTTCTGTGTGACTGCAAAAGAGAGGAAAGGAGCGTCGTTGTCTGTCCTGGCCTTGGCCGGGGTCACGCCAGCTTGCAAGGCACCCCTCCTGGGTCACACAGCGGTCAGAGCCAGACCACTTCACCCGGCTGGCAACGGCTCATCCGGCACTCTCCGCCCATGGGTGGAACGGCTTCCCTGTGAGGGAGAGGCTCTGGCTGGATGATGCCCCTTGCCCTCAGGCAGCACAATCGGGAGCCCACTGGGCCTTTCGCCATCCCCTCTGAGCGGAGCCTCCAGCCACGTTTCGCAGCTTAGGGAGTGGGCTCCTTCCTCCGGTATCACTGGCTGGCGGACGTCATCCCGAAGATGACCTCTTGGGCTCGTGACCCTGCGTTGTTTCTCTAGTCTAGGGCACCCAAAGGAACTGAGTCCTTCCCAGGGAGAGGCCAGCCCTGCCCAGAGGAGAGAGGCCGCCTGCCCACCCACCCGCCGGGCAGCACAGACTGAGCCCGGCAGAGAGGTTAAGGGAAGAACAGCCGGGCGAAATGGACAGCGCTGCGTGCAGGAAGGGCCGGGGGAGAAGACGCCTGCCTTTTGAGACTCAGCACCAGGCTGGATGGGTCCTGGTGCAAATCTCACACCAGTGCAAACCCAGACTCAACTGAGAAGCAAGCCCCAGCTGAACGGCTGGTTCCCAGTCGTGACCTCTCCAGGGGTTAACCCACCACGCAAGAGAGCAGGGAGAAGCATTTGCTCCCAATCAAAGAGAAAAGTCCCCGTTATCAGATATTAAAACACACCAAAAAAGTGAAACTGAAAGGCAGTAGAAAAATTATTTTTATTTGCTTCCTTGCAAGGATTTGTGTATAACTGAAAGATTACAATTTAAGACTGCAACCCTCTTCTTGTGCCACTCACTCCAGTTTGTTGTAAAAAGCACCTTCACCCTTCCTGAGGGATGAAGGAGGAGTTGTAGAAAACCCCAAGAGAGAAGCAAGTTCCCACGTCTTGACTGGAGATGGAGATAAACATGGTCATGGATTTGTTTGGAAAACTGACTTAGGCTTGTTCTTTGTCCCGTAACACACTATGGCACATCAATTCCTGGTCCACTGGCAAAGACAGCAAGAGGATGTGTATACATAAAAAGGAATTAGAATCAAAGGCTTTCCAACTGAAACATACAACAGGAGGCTCTCCAGGTGAGCAACTTCGCTGCCATCAGACAAGGAAGACGAGCGTGCACTTCTTCACGGTGGGGATGGTGCAAGCTGTACTCCTGACAGTTTGTGTCCAGTGGCTTAGTCTCTGTGTACTGAGTAGACTCAGTTATTATCCTGACTGCACATGGAACGTGTATACCGTGCTATTTCAGAAAAAACGAGCCATGTAACGCTGAAGTCTTTTCTCTTTGCCTTTAGTGTAAAAAAAAAAAGTATTGATCCACACGACTTGGAACCTCATGGTGTGGGTTGTACAAAAAGGACTTAAATAGAAACCATGCATAAGATATTTGGCTTATATAATGCATAATACCACTTGGAATTCTTCGCATACATACAAAAAGAGAGAAAGATGTAAATAAGACTTTTAGAGGGGAGAAAGTTGGTCCACTGTTCCCTGTGGTTCTTAAGACTGCTCTTCGGTTTTCATACTTCCTAACTTCTATTCTGCGTTTGTTCTACCGTGACGGAATGAGGCTCAGAATCATCCCACCCAACTGTAGGCTTGCGTCAAAAGGTTACCCAGGCTCAGCTTCCCGGTCACCCACCGCCCACGAGTCAAACTTTCTTCGCAGAGGAGAAGGCATCAACTGGACCAGTTGAACATCCTCAACAATCTTGCTTTGCAAAACTCAATATAAAGGAGGTTTCCAAACTTAGACAGCAAAAGTGCAGTGGGTTTTTTGGAGCATGCAGGAGAACCACCAGCCAGGTAAGGACTGGGAACTGAATCACAGGCTGGCAGGGGTGAACAACTCCTCAGGCATCCAGACTGGTGTTCAACTGCTAGATTCATCAAGCAAACTCACATCTTCAGTTCTAGTCGCTTCAGGGAATGAAGATGCCGCTACCAAGAGCTAAACTAAACAAGTATGTTCTATCCCGAACTTCATTAGAGGCCAGCTCTTCCAAAGCACAGCTACGAAATCTAGCACCATGGGGTTGTCCAAGTGGTCCTGGCTGGTGGGGCTTCAACCCTCCTTCTACAGAAGGTCCAATAAGACAGGGAAAGAGATTATTAGAATTCAAGTGCAAGGCATAAAAGGAAGGGCACAACAGAACTAGCCAGACTAGGTTGACATCATATGGAGTCCTGAGCCCCACCTAGGCGGGTTAGCTCGCACGGGGCCTCCTGTTTATGCCACAGAAGATTCTCGCCTAGGTGACACTGGAGATTGTTCCACAGACACGCCATGCAGTTCTGCCTCTGAGTGAACTGAAGCCACACACGGTGTGTCATCAACACGGCTTGTGTTTCACCTACAGGTGATCAAAATCGTCCGTGGCTTTAAAGGACATTGCAACTCCTTTAACAAAATGCCTATTGGCGATTCATTTTAACCACCACCACCAAGAGAATGGCCGCAATGCCACGAGGCAGCTTTCTAGGTGTGCGGAGGTAAGGAATCCCCCGCCTGCCTCTGCATGCCAGGCTTTGCAAAGGAAGATGTCCAGGGTCCAGGTCAGAAAGCAGCCTGTGCGGAAAGCACAGGAGGGGAAGGGGCGTCAGAAATGTCATCTGGGAGAGCAGAACACCTTGAGAGCAAGCAAAACCTTCTAGGCCGGCCCCAGAAGAGGCACCCTGGGATTTTAGAAGAGGGCAGAGGTGGCAAGGAAGGGATTTGGAAGGAACGGTGGTGTGCAAAAAGGGGATGAGAAGGGAAAGCCCTAAGCACATTCACATTTACACACACACACACAAGCCAGCCCACTTGATCACCAACCCTGAAGTCATGGGTCTCCTGCCTTCATTTTCTTCATGCTTACAAACAGTCCCTAAGGCGACACCTTTTTGCGAAGATCACAAAAATACGATAAGATGAATCTGCCTGGAATTTCTCTGCCTTTGTTCTGCTGGAAGGACGGGAGCCGAGCACTTTCAAACTTGCCATGGAATGTAGTTGAGACGTGAAAAATGCAGCGGGTGGGGAGAAGGGGATGGTAATATTTTAGGAGCAAGTAAATGTCCCCCAGCGAGAGTTCGGCAGACCTGCTTTCTAAGACGACGGCATTTTCGCTCATGGAGAAAGCCGAGGGAAGCAAAGGCTCATCTGGGAGGCGCCTCGGAGGCCACCCTCTTCCTGCTGCTCACAGGGTCTCTGGGGTGCCTCCGACTACCCTCGCCGCAGTACGGAAAGCGGCTTCCGCAAGACCGCAGGCTTCACAGTTCTTGAGGCAACCGAGGCCACTCCCTGGGCAGGGCTAGGCAGCCGTGCGCAATCGCTCTGACGGATGGCGGTCTTCACAGAGCACCCAGTGGAAAGGGGATCTCCGTTCCTCTTCGTGCTGAAACACGGAGGTGTCAAGACCCTGCAGGAGGACATCTTAAGAGCACTTGGAACTTTCACAAAAAACCCCCAAAAAAACCCAACCATCGGCTCCAGGCAGTCTCTTCACATTTTCCCCCCTGGTTTTAAGTATGCATACAGATATGCCGAGGAGTTGTCAATATTTGGGCTAGACCTAAACAGGGCAGAATGACCCATCCTTCACCAGTCAATGGAAAATGTCAATTTTTGTTTAATGTCATCAAGATGGATGAGAAAACTCTCTCCCAAATGGAAAAATGTCTACGCTCATAAATGATGGGGGTGGTGGTGGTGGAAGGGGGTAGTGGTGGAAACCATTACGAATTTTGTATATATAAAAAAAGTGAGCATGAAAAAGAGTCCAGGCTCTGTCCCATCGCTTCCTACACAGGCACGTCAAAAAAGGAGGTTTCAAAGGAGGAAGGAGAGGTGAGTGGGCCCCAGAGCTGGGCCATTCTGCACCCCCAGGGCGCGCAGGCAAGGTGGCAGACAGAACCATTTGGCCTTGTAAGGTTCGGGGTCGTCGGGGGGGGGGAGAGAGAAAAAGAGGCCTGCCACGAAGAGCGCTGAGGTGGACATCTGCCCCGCAGACTCCCAGACGCCATCGCTTGCGCTGAATATTCGGGTTTGGTGGATTGTGACCAGAGGAACTGGAGCCACTCGGTGAAAGCTTTGTTCACCATCCACCAGAGGAGCCTCAGGCCTGGGGGGTGTGTGTTCTGGTCCCCTCAGCCGTCTTCTTCGTCATCACTAATGAGGTCCCTTTTTTCTGGGTTGGTCTCCCGTTCGCGCAAGAAATCCTCCCGAATGGCTTCCAGCTCCATGAGTTCCAGGCGGACTTTCTCCAGGTGGCAGGCCCTCCGGTTCCTGATCTGGCGCAGAGGGAAAGGGTTGAGGTCCCCGAAGGCAATACTGATCAGTTTCCTGGAAGAGAGAACAGCAGCCAGGTGTGACGAGCTAAAAAGGGAGGAGGGCTTCCCACGCAACCCGAGGGGATCCGGGCCTTCCAACCGCCTCCGCAAGAGACTCCCCACATTCCTCTCTCCAGGTCAACAGCGGGAGGCTCATTAACCAACTCCGGGGGAAGGGCAGCCTCGCTGCAGGAAGTCTCTCCCTCCCTCCTCCCTCCTCGTGGTCCTCAACGGGACAAATCGAAATCCTAGGGTGGGAGGAAGCTGCAGGCCTTACCCCATCAGCAGGGAGGCCCAGGGCCCCTCTCCAAAGGGACGGAGAGCGCATAGAGGCGTGATTTCAGTTCTTCCCAGGCGGCTGGAGTGCCCCAGTGCAAGGCACTGGAGGCACAAGCTTGCAAATTCACTGGGCAGCCTGGCGCCCCCAAACCTCACCCCCCCCACACACACACACCCCGTTCAAGAGAAACCATCATCTGCAGAGTGAAAAGGCTCCAGCTGTTTCACTCCCCCAGCCTCCTTAGTTTATGGAGGAAACAACTGAGAGTAAGCAGGAGTGAGAGACGCAACAGAGAGAACCACATCGTGTGTTTCTTCTTCATAAACATTCCCAGGGTGGGCCTTGGTACTTCAAGGGCTCTTTAGTACTGCTGAAGTCCCCTAAATCTACATTTATCTGAAACACGGGTTCTGCAGAAGAGTTCCTGCCAGAGTGTGAGAAACGCCTGCTTTTTGGATGACCTCCCCCAGCTAGTGTGGCCGCCATGGGGGCTGGAGGATTCCGAGGGCTGTCGTCCAAACTGTCTTGGAAGCTTTGGCTCCTGCCTCGGTCGCCCAGCCTTCTCCCACCCGTTCAGCTAATGCAGGCCTTACCCTCAGGGCTTCCACCCTCCAAGGCTGAAGGAGGTCTAATACTCCGTGGCATCGAAACAAACGGGCCCCGCTTCAGCCACGCTGCTCCAGACGGGGGGGGGCCCTCCAGCTGAGATGGACTGCCGCCCCCATCAGCCTAGGGAGGACGGCGGCTACAGACCTGGATACCCAAAATCTGCCGGCCAGAGTGCGAGAGCCAGAAAGGGACAAGCTGTGCAGGAAAACTGAAGGGCTTCAATGCAGCAGCAGCAGCAATAACAGGAGCGGAGGCTGAATGCGAAGAGCTTCCTGTTCTGGGGTGTGGAGGGGCCACCCAAGCCCGCCATCATCAACCCAGGGGGCCGGACAGTGTCATTGTCTCCTGGCCTTCAGCAAGAAATAAAGTGCTTTCTTCCCTAGCTTAAAAGCAAGCATGCTCGCTAGCCCTGGAGTTGTGAGCTTTTATGGCCGAAGTGGGGAAAGAATCGCTTCTTCGGGTGCTGCTGAACCACAACCTCCATCAGCCCCAGCCAGCACACCCAAGGCTGAGCGAGGAGGGATGATGTTGGGAGCTGGAGTCCTGTGCTATCCGGAGGTCACGTGGGTGGGAGGCGGGTGCCGGAGGCACCTTTTAAAAGCACAAGGCGAGTCAGACAGGACGCGATCCGCCTGACACTTGGCCTCTTGGAGGAGCCGTCTCTGGTTTCAAGGAACCGTCCTGGGGTGTCCCTCAGAGGCAGGGCGCAAGCAGAGAAGAGACAAGGGGGCTCTCTCTGTTCTGCCCTCGCCTGGCCCAAAACCTCCTCACGGCACCGTCGTTCCAGCCAAAGCTTCCCATCTACCCACTGGTCATCGCTGGTTAGATGGGTTTTAAGGCTGACGTTGCTGCTCGCTCTGCTTTTGCTCAGCCTCTGTATCCATAATATTACTGTGTTCTAGGTTAACTGGCTTAATTGTTATAGTAAAAAGTTGTAGAAGTGAAGACTGAGATATAGATTTAGGTTTTTAAATGGCCCTTTTTACCCTTATTTATGAGCAGTTGTCATTTATTTAAATCACTCAGGCTGAGCTCCTAAAATCCTTCCCCTTCCTTGCCCTCCCCCAAAAAAGCAGCACAACTTTCTCTGCGGCCACAGAAAGAAGGAAAGGGGTCAAGCTCGTGACGCCCGTCGAACGGAGCAGCTGCCTTTCCCCTCCCTGCCAGCCACACCTAGCACCCAAGAGGCCCTTACCGAGCATCAAGGACGGTGCGAGTGAAGTATCGGAGGTACTTGAAGATGGACATGGAGTCCTGCAGCTTCAAGATCTCCTCCTCTTTGTACTTGAAGAGTGCCAGAGCGAACCGGAAAATGACCTAAACGTTCAACAAACAACAGGTGATGAGAGAGTGAACGCGGGAAGCCACGTGGACGTTTTCTGTGACTTTTAGCTAAGGAGATGAGAGAGACAAAGAACCACCCTGGGCGTTGCCTTGGTCACTTCTCCCAACTCCTGAAAACTCTGCCTTCTGGGACCCCCCCCCACCCTGATGAAAAGGCCAAGGGCTCTTGAGCCCTGAGGACGAGGAGACCACTTTACACAACGTGGAACTGGATTTCAACGGAGACGGGCCCAGGGTTTGAGTCACAGCCCAGGGCAGCTCAACCGTGGCAAGGGGGACTGACTGGTCAGCTTCCTCCGAGACAAGAAACAATGTTGATCATCCACAAAAACGCGACACCTCCACACATCAAGCTGGACAGTGCTGGAAAACCGACTTGCCTTTGGCCCTTCATAGAGAAAGGAGTCCCAGATCTTGAAGAGGACGTCGCTCACCACGCTGTCCACAAACACCACCAGGAACCAGTTGAAGGTGATGAGGGAAGAGTCGACCCGGTAGTGCTCGAAGTGGGCGTGCAGCCGAGGCAGCTTCTCGCTCATCAGGTCTTTGAAGACTCTCTGGTCCACCTGAATGCAAGAGAAAGGAGG